TTTTTTTGGCTTTTTTGCCGGATTTTTCGACCCGGTACGCCAAATTCGCATTTTACTTTAAACAATAGGTTTTTGTGGACCAACTGTTTATGTGCAGCGCTCAAAATAATTATTCGTACAGTGATTTATTTTACAATATTCGCATTGCTTTTCATATTTTTTTTTAGTTAATTCTTCACGAAAACATAGTTCATATTCTAACAAAAAGCATATATGTATGTACATATATAAAATTTTTAAACTTTTTACAAAAATTTCGAAAATTAAAAAAATTTTCATGAAAACTCAAAATTCAGAATTTTTACTATGCAGTTTAATAAAATGCAAGTTTCAAGATGCTGAAAATTAGCGATGATTTTTGAGATTTTTGTTCTCAATGTTGTTGAGCGTTTTCTATATTTGTTCAAGCATTATGTGTGTCAAAAGTTACAACACCCTAGAGAAAAAAATTTTTTGAATTTTTTTAAGTTTTGTAAAAAGTTTGAAAATTTAATTTATATGGCTTTTGTTAGAATATGAACTATATTTTCCTGAAAAATTAGCAAAAAAAAAAATATGAAAAACTTGCGAATATTATAAAATAAATCACTGTACAAATAATTATTTTGACCACTGTATGTATTTGCTTAAAAGTTTGGATATATTTCATATTTTGCAGGTTTTCGCAACTATTTAAGAATTTCTCTCGAAACATTGCGAGATCTTTTGGGGACTTTTTCTGATTTTTCGGGACCTTTTGTGATTTACTGCGTTTTACTCCGGATTTTTTGGGATCGTTTGTGGTTTTTCAGATTGAAAAGTACATTTAAATACTAACTTTGCTTTATATGATTGCCTAAAACCTAAAACACAAGACTTTTGGGGTATTTTCTACTTAAATAATATCAGACAACTGGCAGGAATAATTTTTGCATAAAAAGGTAAACATAATAAAATAATAAAAGCCATTCAGTTGGTTAATTTTTCTGTTCTGTTTCTGTTTGATACAAATGCCTGCTCGGGACTGTCTCCGATATTTACATTCTTCCATAAATTTTTAAATTTTTACTCCAATGAAAAAACACCCTGTATTGAAAATGATCAACCTTATCGCCAATTCCATGTTAATAAATAGTTCCCATAATTTAACAGGGAAAAATTTTGAAAAATTATCACTGGTTCTTGCTTTATAATTTTTGGGAATATTTGTTCACACGGAATTCACGATAAAGCCGAATGTATCTAAACGAAATCATAGAATTGTATCGTCATCATCAAATCGAAAGCTCTATTTGAAACTTTTTCGGAAAATTCGATATTTTTTTTTTAATTTAGAAAATTCAAAAACATCAAGATTTATTAACTTCTGAAACTTTATAATAAAATTTGTCAGATGGAACCTTTGCATCGATAATGACGGTTTGTACTAATCTTTGGATGAGCAATGGTTGTTATTGATGGGAAGGAATAGGAAAATATAGTGTACAATAGGATAAGATTTGTTAGGACATAATACACACACATACACGCACCCCAAATAGGTGAGGTGAGCAAGTGTCTGTTGTCGAGTGAAATAGCAATATTGGAAATGACATTGGCAATGTGTGAGGAGCATTAGCTGGCTGTGTATGGGAAACTGTTAGGATATGGAGGTGAAAATTTAATTATATTTTCTTGCTAGGCTAACAGCATGCCACAACATTCAATTTAAATTGCATTGTTGCTACACAAGCAGCGTTCGGTGCCGATCTGTGCTGTGGCGGAATGCTGATATGGAGGATGGGTGCAGGTGGGATGCAGATAGTGGTGGTGGTGGTGGGATGGAACATAATGGTATTAGTGGATTAAGGTTGGCGAGGCATGAATATTTTAAAACCACTTCTTTTTTTTGCCTTCCATATGATTCTAAGTGTACGTGTCTAAGTATGTGTATGAATTTGAGTGTACGCACCCCCTCCAATCGCCTCCTTGTCACTATCTGGCTCAGATTGTGTGAGACTCATTTGCCGGCGTGACAGCGGCAACTGATTCAGACTTATGCGTGAGCGGTTAATATCGGCAGCTATGATGGAGCACGCTTCAGAGTTGCGACGACACAGCGATACGGTGCGTTGGCGCAGTGCACGACGCTTGGCAGCTAAGCGGTATTTATTTTTTTTTTTTGTGATATCGAACAAACAAAAAAGAAGAAGAAAAAGCAACAACATAAACAATTAGTGTTTACCTCTGTTGATTTGCATTTTGCAGTGTACAACAACTGCAATATAGTGTGTTATATTTTTGTATGTGGTTTTTTTTTTTTTGTATTTTCAACCAACGCCAACTACAGGTTGTTCAATGTTTGTTTTTTTCTTTGTCGATTGATTGGTTGGTGGGAGTATGTGAGTGGTTGATTTTTTGACTGGTGCTTGATGCGCTGTTGGATGTCATTTACGTGGCCTGCGCACCGTATGTTGGAACGACATGCCGGTGTTTAGATGTTTAATAAGGTATTTACCTTCGAAATTTAAATCCTGACCAGTCTCATCCGAATTCTCTCCGACCAGCGTGTGTTCATCATCGGCACCCAGTGGTGTTAAAGTATCTTTGCTCTCAGTGCTGGCGCCAGTGTCCTGCCGCACCGTCACGTATGGCGTACGCTTTACAGTCTCACATGTGGACGGGCGTTGTGACATCGGTAGGTAAATGTCCGAGTCAGATTCGGATTGCATGGATATTTTGCGGCTCACATGCTCGCTCAGCGGCAGATCGTCTGGCTCTTCAGGTACTGGCACCACCTCGAAATGGGTGCCTTCATCGAAAATGTACGCATCCGGGCGCACTTCTGTGAGCGAACGATTAAAGCGACGACGGTTGTTGACCTTTATGTATGAATTGGGTGAGAGGCAAAGAAAATTATGTAAATATTAAGAAACGCAAATTATTTTAAACTTTATTGTAGTTGCATAATAATCAATTAAATTCAGCATTCGCGTTTAAAAAGTAGTATGTTAACAAAGAAAATACATATTACTTCAATTTATTATGGTATACCCACCTGTAAATTCGGTGTTGGCATCAGTGTCTCATTATCAGACATCGACACGGTGCGTACACGCTGTAAATCTCCGCCGAGATTCATATTCGATGCGTGCAAATCGCCTCCATCAAGCATATGCATCGACATGAAACGATGTATGACCGCCAAGTGCGAAAGTATTTGCTCCGAAGATTCTTCCATTTTGCGCAGACGAAATTCGATACTCTGGAAAAAGAAAACAAAGAGTTGAAAAATTTTATAAAATAGTAAAAACTGGCAGTAGTTTAAGCGTTTTTAATTACCGAATCAAAATTGCTTTTTAATAAAAAAAAAATTGAAGAAAGCCATTCCTAAAAACATTGTTAAAGTTCAACTTGATTTCCAGATCTTGATAAGAAAAGTTTTAAGATAGCGGTGGTATTCTACATGGTATTAGAACTCACTCTGATGTAAATTAAAATTTATTTTAAAAATTTGGGAGATGGCTTTTTAGTAGGGCTGTGCGATTATTCGATTACTCGAGCAAGTTGGTTAATCAATTATTCGGTTAATCAATTACTCGAGTAATCAAGATTTTGATTACTCAAAACGATGATTAATCGAGTTACTTGAAATATGATTACTCAAAAAATAATAATTTTGCTCGTTAAAAGAGTTTGCTTTGGAAAATGCTTATTTTCTTTTTCACATCCTGTATATGAAAAAAAATTTTCGTTTTAATTTTTTAAAACAGAAACGTTGTTTTCAAAGTATCAAGGAACTTTAACTACTTTATGCATATGTAAAGAGTTGAAATGTTGATTACTCATTTTACTCCAAATGTTGATTAATCATAAAGCAAATTACTCAAATATGTTTGTTTTTGGTTAATCAAAAATCTTGATTACTCGAGTAACTGAACTTTTGAGTAATCATAACTTCTAATTAATCGAATAACTGAGTTATTTACTTTATGATTAATTAAAATTTTGAGTAATCAATTAATCGCACAGCCCTACTTTTTAGTTTAGTTTTTTTTTTTTTTATAAGTCTATCTCATTATATAATAAACTGCATTGAAATACGCACCTCAAGCCTTTTACAAAAAATAATGAAAATTCAAAAAATGTTCACTTAAATTTCAAACTTTTTATTCAGAAATTTTAGGTATGCAAGGTAAATAGTAAAAATTTCAAGTGGCTACAAATACCGTTGATTTTTAATAGTTTTTTTAGCTGACGGTGTTGTACATTATCTTCAATATGAATTTGTTTCTTTATATATGACCATTTTGATGGAGTTAAGGAGCTTTGTGGAACTGCATCAAAGTTGCCATAACGGCTGCTGACTTATTCCCTTTGGCAATGAACCGATTCATGCACAGTATGCTCAAAACATGGATTTCTTATGGAAAAATTACGCTAGGTGGTGCAGGGTCGAGTTTATTTTTATTTTTTTTTCTAATCGCGAATAAAAGCTTGCCCTTAAAATCTTGTTTTTAATTATCTGTTTTCGTTTGAAAACAGAATTGAACTTTTATGTGAAGTGATAAAGAATGGTTTTGCTTTACGTTTACACAGAACAGAAATTGGTCCCGAGGAACAGCTTGGCGATAAGAAATTTGTTTAATGAAAAAAAGGTATACGAAAGAAAATTAGAAAGAAACTTGTTAAAATTACGTCCCCCTATTTGCTTCCCCGCCACTGTATATACACTTGTGGTCAGCTGATTAAGTCCAGTGATATTTTGACTAGTTTACCTATTTTTCTTTTGTTTATTTAATGTTTGTATTTTTTTTTTAATAAAAGTTTTGCAACTTATCTAATTAAAAAAAAAAATATGAAAATTCGACGAATTTTAATATTTGCACCCGAACATTTTAAACTTTTTATTCTGAATTTTTAGAAAATTTTTAGGTATGCTCATTGAATTTTAGTAGGTTAAAATGCAAATTTTAAGACGCTAGAAAAACGCGTTGTTTTTTAATATTTTCCTTTTTGCTGATGGTGCTAGGCATTTTCTCTTAAACAAACGAAATTGTCGAGCATACCTAAACTTTTTCTAAAAACTCTGAATAAAAAATCGAAAATTTTCGGGTGCAAATGTTACAGTTTGTTGAATTTTCATAAGTTTGAAATGTGGATTTATGTGGAGCTGGTTAGGTAAAGTGCTAGATTTTTATAAAAAATATATCAACATTAAATAAACAAAAGAAAAAAATAGCCAAAACTTGTCAAAATGCCACTTGACTTAATCAGCCGACCACGAGGGTATGTATTTATTTAAGATTCATTATTTCCAACTCACCTGCACAGTGGCCGTTTGTACATTCTCCTTTTGATTGATATCCTCAATTTTTTGTGCCAATATTTCAACACGTTCCGTTGTATTTTTTCACACGTTCATCAGTCGATTGATTCAATATGATTTCCTGTTCGTGAAAGAAACCCTCAACGCATTCCTCTTCGAAGTCGTACAAACGCTCCATATCATCCTTTTCGAGAAACAATTTTAAGCCATTGTCACGTTGTACCTCCAATCCTGATGAGTGGTACAAATTTGATTTTTATTTATTTGAAGTTGGCGTATTTGCATATTAGGGCGCATGTGGGCGCATATGAGGGAAGGAGTTTAGGAGCAGTGGATTTGAATAGATGAATTTGCAGAAATTGAGACAGAATTTGTTTGTTGAATGTTGCGGTGCGTGGCGGCGTTGTTGTTGTCGAATGGTGGTTGCGCATGACATTTATTATCGCACAAGTGTTGTTGATATGCAGAAAGAAGCAGTTTCGTTTTCGATGTTGTTGACATAGCGATAGATATTTATTTAAGTTGATTTTGTTGACGATTCCAAGTTGTTGAGATTGTTGACCGTTTTTTTATTTTCGTGTTGAATTTATTGAATTTTATTTGATTGATATGGCAACCAATTGTTTCGTTAGATATCAGGTCAGTATTTGTAGATAATTGCAGTTATTTTTAATTTTTTTTTTTTTTAGAAAAACAAACATACAAAGACATCATCAGTTTTGTTGGATTATTGCAGAATTGAGAGTATAACAAATTTTATAAATAAACGGTTATTTGTATGCGCGCATGTTTGGATGTACATATGTATGTGCGTGAGCATGCATTTTGATGTGTCGTGTGATTGAACAGATGTAACCAATGGTGTCATCATCATAAACACCGTCACATCATCATCATCATCATCATCATCATTATTACCATCAAATGCAGTGGCAAAGATGCGACAAGCGGTGATGGCCCATAAAGTGTGGTGAGTGTAAATATTTCAAATGTATTATTGCAGTGACACGATGTTTAGTTTGGAATGATGTGGCATGAATGGCAAATGTGCCACATGTGGCAGTTGTGAAGTACAGCAACAACAGCAGCGGCAACAGCAATGAATGCAATTTTCCAAAACCATCGGCAATGAAATGAAATTGTTCAATACGATGCGCATATTCCATAAAGGTGGTTGAGTGTATTGGTGTTAGGAAGTTTTTTTTTTTTTTAGTTACGTTGGTTAGTTTTCACATTTGAAATGATTTTATAAATGTTTTTTTTTTGTGCGTTTTAGTGCAATGTGTGCATGTTTGCGATAGCCATTTTTTTTTTGGAATTTCAATACCGTTAGTAAACATAAAAAATTTGCAATGCATGTTCACAAATGTATGTATGTATGTTGTGGAGGAGTATGTTTATATGTTCGTGTGTAACAGCCATGAACGATACCGTTAACGGCAGCGCAACAAGAAGAAAAGGAAATAATATTTTTTGGTTAAATATATTCACAGCGTTAGTAATATAAACTCACAGGGAATAAAATTTAATTTTCTCATCCCTCTCTCACCTTTCGCTTTACGTATACAATACTTAAGCAACGAGTAGAAATGGCAGAGTGCAATGAATGGTGGCGGTAGTACGGGTTTTTGTTGATACTCCATGACGACAGTGAAGCGTTGGAACATCCAAACCTAAACACAATCGCACAAACGATAAAATAAGAAGACGA